TTTTGCCTACGAGAGGATGAAAGATGTCAGGCAACACAAAAACAAAAATCTCCAGGTTATCTTCTGGCACAAAATAATTTTTACCTGAAAGAAGTCACAGCCCAACAAAACTTTATAATTTTTTTTCTTGGTGTCTTGATTTTCAGGCCTGTTCCTGGAGTTATTTAAGGCACTGATTCAGAAAATTGCATTGACTAGACCGCATCAGTTCTAGTTTCTTAGAAATGGTTATCATGATTTTATATAGGCAAGCAGATGGCAACTGTTAGATGGCATGTTATTTATCTCAAAAACTAGAGCTAATAGGGGAAAACTGGTGTCATTTTTGGAATCAGCAGGTCAGATATGCCTAGAAACAAAGCTGACATGTGAGGCAACAAAAATGTATGTTGGCCAGTGTAATGGAAACTTTGGAAAACCCGCTGGGTTCCTAAATACTCTGAAGGCCCTGAAAGATCTCTGACACTGTGAAGACAAAGTGACACTGGAAGACAATGCCAGAAAATCCCAAGGAACAATTTATGAGATGTCCGAAGAAGTGTAAGTCTATCAACTGTTAACTCATTATATCATTCTAAAGATTACTTGTAACTGGATAAAGAAATCTGTTTCTGATACGGGCAACAATGCCTTCTCACCAAAGAGTAACAATATAAATCAAATCAGTGGGATTTAATGTTTATACAAAACATGGTTGATATCATCACCCAGGACTATGTGGACAATGCAAAACATCTATTTATATTTAGGTTGCTGTCATTTCCTTACACATCTATTGTCCAACCCGTATTCACAGAAATCCTGGAGTTCTAGAAAAGCCCATCAAGCCAAAGCAATATAGGAAAAACTTGAGAGTCACCTTGTTCATCACTCCTGGGGTTTCCATGCAATGTGCAGCTAAGGGATTGTTTTCAGTGTGGTTTAGCACTTACCTTTCAGTTCAAAAAGGAGGGCCCCAACACTCCTGGCACATGCCCTAACCCACAGAAATGGGGTGTCCAACCCTGAACAGCCTTAGAAGCCTCTGAAAGCCTCTACATCAGATCCGCAGATGCTTCTTGGCACATAACTATGGTTGAATATTTGTGACTTCAAGCGGCTTGCTGATTCATGGTGATTCCCTGAAGTTTTCAATTTTTTAAAGCAGGAAATGCTGAGGTGATTATACCTAATCTTTTCTTGAAAATATAGCCTACAACACCTGGTATGCCTATTCTTCTACTAATCTCTAATTCCCCCGAATACATCCAGCAATAAAACTACAGCGTTTCATCTTGACATAGCTTAAAACTTTCCCATTCTAGGCTTGCTCCAAGCAACCTTGCTTCAGGAGATAAACTTTGTGGAGTGAAAGGGGCCCTTTTTGTTGGCATGTCTATCAAAGTTATGGTTTTGTTTTCATTGTCTACTGATTCTGCAAAAGTGGTCACATCAAGTATTGTCTAAGAAGCAGCAAAGGATAAAACATTATATCTAGTACTACAGCATGGATAGGCAATTATTTGGTACATTTACCAAGTACTAAATTTGTAACCTACAGTTTTTAACTCAAAAACTCTTAAGAGGTATCTTGTCACAAAAATATATTTCAAACAAAAATAATATTTTTCAAAGAATAGTTTACACAAATGTACACGAATGAGTCAATGTATATCTCAAGGACTACTCCTTTCAACTGTTGCCAGCATCTTTGCAGTACAATGTGAAAGTAAGGAGGGAATGGTGTCACCACTGGAAATGAATGAAAAGGGAATGGTGTTTGGATGAACGGGGCTATTGGATGTTTGACACAAAGGTTGATTACTCAAGAAGGGAATTTTAAAAAATGAAATTGCAATAAACAGAACACAATGCACACAGTTGAAAGTATATTTTATTTTATACAAAGTTTCCAAACATTGTATCAAGGGCAAAACAATTATGGACATGAGATTTAAACATGTATTTGAAGAGAAAAAGAAAAGAAAGAAAACACAATATGATTATAATGAATGTAAGATGCTGGCAAATGGATGCTTTAAGATTGAAAAACGTACAATATCAGATAACAAACCATGAAGAAAAAAAGGACATTAACAGTGCAATACTACAAATGTGTATAGATCCGTGAGTCTCAGGTGCAATAGTATTTAATAGTATTTAATCCTAGATAAGTATGTTTAAGAGTTCAGCCTAACATACTATTGTAAACAATCATTTCAGTGGTTTACAAAATGTCACTGAGTTGATACAACCACAGATGACATGGGTAAACTGCGACAATTCATAACATTAAATTGCAATTTTACAGTGCTAGAGTTCAACTAAAAAGTAAAGTACTCCACATCCATGGATTTTGCATTCACAGATTCAACTGTCCACAATGTGAAAATATCCCACCTTCCCAAAAAAACAAAACAAAACAAACTTTGATCTTGCCATTTTACTACACAATGGGTTAAACCCTGTTGCTGGTTCGAATCTGGGGAGCAGGGTGAGCTCCCATCTGTCAGCTCCAGCTAGGCACCCCCTGGGCAATGTCATTGCAGATGGCCATTTCCCTCACACCAGAAGCAACTTGAAGTTTTTCAAGTTGCTCCCGACATTTTTTTTAAAAAAACCTATGCTATTGTATACAACGGGATTTGAACTTACACTGGCTCTGGGATCTGTGGGGGGTCCTGGGACCAAACCCCAGCAGATGCACCAAGCCCCCCCCCCCCCCGACTATTTTAAATCTTCAACATAGTTCTCCTTCCTGATTGTTTTTTTTTTAAACCTGGCCTGGACTCAATTATAAGTAGTTTTACTTTCCACTTAATAAAAGAGATAGAGATAGATCTTTTTTAAAAGGCTATAAAACTAAATGTGATAAATGGGATTTGTAATATTTTGTTACAATTAGTTTGTTATATTTTATGCAAAGCTCACCTCATTAATCCTGAGCTTCCTGCCTCTTTCCAACAAACATCCCTTTCAAAATCACTAGCATATCTGAACAGCAAGGGCCAGAACAGCCATTCCCTGATAGGTTCCTTATGTACTGGATAAAAACCCTGTAAACCTTTGGTGGCCAGCTTCTGATCAAGGGAAATTTAGTACAATGCCAAATTTTAAACTTCGTTTGTGGTTTTTCTATACATTATAACTCAATTCGCTTCTGACATGATAAATAAATAACTTTTGGTGGCTGGAGATGATGGGAGTACTAGTGAAAGCTTTTTACCTTTCACATGGTAAAAGCTTCCACTAGTACTCCCATCATCTCCAGCCACCAAAAAATATTTATTTATCATGTCAGAAGCAAATTGAGGTGAATAGAAAACAGAGCAAAGGGAACGGTACTGGTGGCTTTGTGAAAAGGCTTGGACGCATGTGTGTGGTTAAGACATCTTGGCTTTAACCAAATTATTATTTTTTAAGACATAAAGACTGAGTATCTCTTATCTTGAAATCCCAAAATGTCCATGCAGATGGCTAAGAGCAGTGGTTCTCAACCTTCCTAACGTCTCGACCCCTTAATACAGTTCCTCATGTTGTGGTGACCCTCAATCCTAAAATTATTTTCATTGCTACTTCATAACTGGAATTTTGCTACTGTTATGAATCGTCATGTAAATATCTGATAGGCAGGATGTATTTTCATTCTCTGGACCTTGGGAGTTGTGGTTGCTGGGATTTATAGTTCACCTACAATCAAAGAGCATTCTGAACTCCACCAGAGATGGAATTGACCCAAACTTGGCACACATAACGCCCGTGACCAGCAAAAAATAATGAAAGGGTTAGGTGAGCACTGGCCTTTAGCTTGGGAGTTGTAGTTCACCTATCTCCAGAGAGCACTGTGGAATCAAACAATGATAGATCTGGACCAAGCAAATACTCAATATGCCCAAATGTATACACTGGTGGAATTTGGGGAAAATAGACTTGACATTTGGGAGTTGTAGTTTCTGGGATTTTTAGTTCACCTACAATCAAAGAGCATTCTGAACCCCACCAATGAAAGAATTGGGGCAAACTTCCCACACAGAACCCTCATGACCAACAGAAAATGCTGTGTTTTCTGATGGTTTTTGGCGACCCCTCTAACACCCCCTCGCGACCCCCACAGGGGTCCCGACCCCCAGGTTGAAAAACACTGGCTAAGAGAGTGAAAGCTTTGCTTTCTGACAGTTGGATATACACAAACTTTCATTTAAAACTCTGTGTAGAAAATTACTCTCCAGCTCGGATAGAGGATGCATGTGAAACCTAAATGAGTGTCATGTTTAGACTTGGGTCCAATCTCCATTTGTTTGGATAGCAAATACGGGTATTCCAAAAACTGGAGATTAAAAAAAATCCAAAATCTAGTAGCAAGCAGGGTCAATCAACCTACTTATTTCCATGCTGTGGATGGTTGAATCCATGGATACAAAGGGACAACTATATGGGGTGCTTCAGCAGGAGTTCACCTATCCTTCCATCAGAGTGGCCAATGCTGCATCTAAACAGTCTGACCCCAGTTTAACTGCCCTGTCTCGATGCTGTGGAATGCTGGGAGTTGTGGTTTGTGTATTTTTTTACAGAAGAGGCTGAAGACTTTGTAAAACTATCACTCAATAGCATTGAGCAATGGCAGTTCAAGTGGTGTCAATGTGCATTAATTCTAGAATAGAGATCTGGCATGGGCAAACCTGGGCCCTCCAGGTGTTTTGGATTTCAACTCCCAGCATTCCTCACAGCCTCAGGCCCTTTCCTTTACCGCTTAAGCGGCTGAGGGGGTAAAGGAAAGGGCCTGAGGCTGTGAGGAATGCTGGGAGTTGAAATCCAAAACACCTGGAGGGCCCAGGTTTGCTCATACCTGGTGTAGATGCACACAGAGTACTCCTGTGTCTAGTTGCACTTCCTGCCTTCCTTACCACCCCTTTCCTTCTGCACCAAGGCAACCCTCTGCGGCGAGGGCCTCGGGGCCTGAGGAGCCCCTCTCCAAGGGGAGGAGAAGGGAAGGGAGGAGGCCCCGGGTGGCCCCTTCTTACCCTCGGGCGAGGCGGTGGAAGGCGGGGACGACCCGGCGAGGGGCTCCTGCGGCCTCCATCCCCGCGGGAGGAAGAACTTGGGGAGCAGCAGCGAGACGCACAGCACCAAGCAGGAGGCCAGGGCTACTTTACGGAATGTCGAGTACGCCATGGCTGCGGAGAGTAAGCCGGGGAGCCTGACAACGCTTCTCCTCCCCCCGCCGCTACGTCACATCCGGCCTCCTTCGCGTGTTGGGCGGGGAGAGGCTTGCGCACGCGCACTACCATTTCTGAAGCCGCTTCTGTACTTTGCACTGTCTGGTAAAAGGCAGGAAGAGACATGCGAGGTCGGCTGTGATTGGGCCGATTTTGCTCCGAGGGCGGGGACTAGAAGTTTGAATGACTGGTCTTTCCTTCTGGGAGGAGTGGGTTCTCAGCAGTTCCTCCAATACACTTTGTGGAGGCAACAGCCCTCTTTGTTATTAGAGAAGGCTAAAGGCCTTGTAAGACTACACAACGCAGGGTTCCATAACATTGAACCTGGGCATCTAAATTAGTGTCGAACCGCATTAATTCTTAGTGTAGGCGCATCCTCGGTCGTGTTTTTGTGATACCTTTAGGGCAGTGGTTCTCAACCTGTGGGTCCCCAGGTGTTTTGGCCTACAATTGCCAGAAATCCCAGCCAGTTTATCAGCTGTTAGGATTTCTGGGAGTTAAAGACCAAAACATCGGGAGAGCCACAGGTTGAGAACCATTGCTTTAGGGAGAAAAAGCACATATTGTCTAAAGCAGGGGTCCTCAAACCTCCAAGGTCATTTACCCGGCCCTCGCTCAGGGTCAACCTAAGTATGAAACTACTTGAAAGCACACAATAACAACAACAATCCTATCTCATCAGCCAAAAGCAGGCCCACACTTCCCATTGAAGTTTATATTTGTTAAAATTGTTCTTCATTTTAATTATTGTATTGTTTTTAAATGTTTTTTTTTTTTTTGCACAACAAATAAGATATGTGCAGTATGCATTGGAATTCATTCGTGTGTTTTTTTCAAATTATAATCTGGTCCTCCAACAGTTTGAGGTACTGTGACCTGGCCCTCTGTTTAAAATGTATGAGGACCCCTGGTCTAAAGCATCCAACAAAATTGATGCGGGCGGGGATGGGGAGATATGTCACCCAATGCTAAGTAGATCAATGCTTCTCAACCTGGGGGTCCCCAGGTGTTTTGACCTACAGAAATCCCAGCCAATTTACCAGCTGTTAGGATTTCAGGGTCTTGAAGGCCAAAACATACGGGGACCCACAGGTTGAGGGCCCTTCCACACAGCTCTATATCCCAGAATATCAAGGCAGGAAATCCCACATTATCTGAGTCTGAACTGCCTTTATATTCTGAGATATAGGGCTCTGTGGAAGGGCCCCTAGAATCAGTGAAGTAGATGGTATTCATTTTCAGCTTATTTTATTTTATATATTCCTGCTTCAGGGATGACATTAAAAACAGGTGTACATTAAAAAATGACAACTCATGCAATGATTATAATCGAGATACTGTATATATAAAAGTGAAAGTATGTTTGTTTGGTAGCCTGTTTGCACCACAAAAGCTATTGCAAGGTGAAGTGGACATCCATGTCATCACTGGATTGGCTGTTGCTAGGTAAAGCGTCCCTCTGATGTCACTGGGAAATAAAGGTGACGTGTGTATGAGATTAAGGAAGGAAGGAAAGAGCCAAAAAGAGCCCACCTTTGCCAGAGTGTTACCATGGAGGCATTGCAAGATAGGCCTTCTTGGAGCTGGAGAAGGAAGAAAGGTGGGCAGTGGTCGCAATGACACCTGGGTATATGCAGTAGTAGTAGTAGTAGTAATAATAAGAATAATAGGCTTGAAAAAGTTATAGAAAATGAGCATGTCAAACTACTCTGGGACTTCCAAATTCAGACTGACAGAGTTTTGGAGCACAATACTCCTGACCTCACCGATTGTGGGGAAAAACCAAAGTAGGGATTGTCGATGTTGCAATCCCAAGCAACAGCAGGATTGAAGAGAAACAACTGGAAAAGCTGACACGATACAAGGATTTAAAGGTCGAACCGCAAAGACTGGGACAAGCCAGTAAAGGTGGTCCCAGTGGTGATCAGCACACTGAGTGTAGTTCCTGAAGACCTTGGCCTGCACTTAAAAACAATCAGCACTGACAAAGTAACCATCTGTCAGCTGCAAAAGGCCACCCTATTTGTATCTGCATGCATTGTTCGCTGATACATCACACAGTCCTAGACACTTGAGAAATGTCCAACCTGTGATCCAATACAAAAGCCAGCATAGTCATCTTGTTTGCTGTGTACTAATCTTGTGTATCCAATAATAATAGTAGTAGTAATAATAATAATAATAATAGTAATTGGGGGGAAGGATAGTAGAGGCAAAGATGAAGTACTTTGGCCACATCATGAGAAGAAAGGAAAACTTAGAGAAGACAATTATGCCTGGGAAAATGGAAGGAAAAAGGAAGAGGGGGCGACCAATGGCAAGATGGATGGATGACATCCTTGAAGTGACTGGCGTGACCTTGAAGGAGCTGGGGGTGGTGACGGCCGACAGGGAGCTCTGGCGTGGGCAGGTCCATGAAGTCATGAAGAGTCAGAAACAACTGAACGAATGAACAACAACAACAATAATATACTTGAAGCACTCGGAGACATATCTCCCCACCTTTGTACCTGTAAGTACTTTTGGGGCGAACCCATTTATTTTAACATAAACTCCCTTCTATGGACAAACTGGGCTGTAACTCACAAAATCTTGTGAAAACACGGGATGTAGATAAGTTTAGCAAGTTTTCAAAATATCAATAAGGAACAGTCAAAATCAGAAACAGTTAATTTTCTGTCTTTATGAAAAATCCATAGGTGATTTATTTGGGGGCATGCATCAAGAGTCCTGAATCCATTTCAATATACCATCATTAGCTGCATTAGCAATTAGCTTCAAACGTGCTCATTTGCTCGAGCAACTTTACCTTGACTTTTCCCAAAATACCTACATTCTCATATACTGGCTTTTTGGCACCCCACGTGTTCTATATAAATGCCATATGTTCCGAGCCTCAAATAAAGGCCACCCCTTATAATAAAAGACACCTGAATGCTTATGTGGAAGTTTATAATGAGACCAACTGATTCATGTTAAAGGAAGTTTATAATGAGACCAACTGATTCATTTTGTATCACTTCAAAGAAGTGGGCAAATAAGCAGCAGCTTATGTGCCCACTTACCCTCCCCTGGCAATATATATAAAAATAGTCCTTTTGAGGATAGTGCAAATAGGCCTCAGGGAAGGCAAGTAGTCAGTTTATTGAAGAGACTAGTTCTTTTTTCCCCTGCCCCTGATCATACATTCTCTCTGTCAGGGCAGCCTCAGTATTAGGCAGTTCCCAAGTTATGATCAAGATAGATTGAATCCAGACAAGACAGAGGTCCTCCTGGTCAGTCAAAAGGCCAACCTGGTCAGTTGAAAAGGCATAAGGTTACAGCCTATGTTGGATGGGGTTACGCTTCCTCTGAAGATGCAGGTTCGCAGCTTGGAAGTGATTATGGATTCATTGTTAAGCCTGGAACCCCAGGTCTTGGCGGTGGCCAGGGGAGCTTTCACACAATTAAAACTTGTGTGCCAGTTGTGCCCCTACCTTGGGAAGTCAGACTTGGCCATGGTTGTCCATGCTCTTGTTACATCAAGGGTAGACTATTGCAACATGTTCTACATGGGGTTGCCTTTGAAGACTATTCGGAAGCTTCAAGTGGCCCAATGGGCGGCAACCAGATTTCTAACGGACAGCGTACAGAGAGCATACAACTCCCCTGTTACTTCATCTCCACTGGCTGCCAATCTGCTACCAAGCACAATTTGAAGTGCTAGCTTTTGCCTACAAAGCTCTAAATGGTTCCAGCCCAGCTTACCTGTCTGATTGTATCTCCCTCTATGAAGCATCACAGAGGTTAAGATCTTCTGAGGAGGCCCTGCTCTCAGTTCCACCTCCCTCACAAGCATGACTGGTGGTGGGGAGGAGAGACAGGGACTCCTCAGTGATGGTCCCTCAGCTATGGAACTCACTCCCTTTTGAAATTAGACTAGACTCCTCCCTCCTGATATTCAGCAAGAAAATAAAAACGTCGTTATGTGACCAAGCTTTTGGACAACAAAGTTCAAGATGGAATAAGAGAATAAGGAATACTGAATATACTAATGGAATGACTACGGATTTGATTTTGGGTGGCATGATTTTAATAACTGTTCTTAAATTGTGTTGTTTATCAGTGGGTTTTAATATAAATGTTATTATATTATCGACGTTTAATTTTTATGATTATGTCTAAATGTTACTTTAATGTTTTAATTTGGATAGGTTTTTAATTTATAGTAATATGTTATTGTCTAGTTATTAAGTTCTGGTTTTCACATGTATGTATGGCATTCTGTCCCTGTGATAATTGGATTTTGAAAAAATTGGCTTGTTGTGGAAACAATGATTGGCAAGAAAGCTTCAGTTGAGACATCTTTTTCCCATTCAAACTCTTTCAGGAGTGAATTTCCCTTCTGGGGGTATATTTCTCTCTTTCCAGCTGTCCCATTCCCTTAACTATGAGTCATTTTAAGTCGGATGTTTGCAACTTGGGGACTGTCTGTACTAATCAGTTGTCCCTCACTTAGGAAAAAACCACTCATTCAGGGAAAGTTAGCAAATATGTGGAACTACTATACATTTTCATTGGAAGCCTGTGAACCTGCTTGATTTTTGTCTCCAGATTTATAGAAACCTAGCCTCCATGTGTTGTGTTTAGAGGCTTGGAGTCCTTGGAAATCAGAAAAGAGACTTATTAGAGGCTTAAAAGATGCAGATTTTATTGTTCTATAGTTCCTTCATGGTCCAAGGCTACAAGATAGCTGTCCTAACCAGACTTCTAAGAGAAAACTCAAGGTAAACCATAGCCTTAGTCCAAGACATTCTAATAAATCTGGTTTGGATCAAAGAATTGATTTGCCACAGACGTTACACACAAGTATAGAAGGACTGCATGAAAATAACAGTACTAATGTCAGATGAGGACATATTGCAGATGACACCACACTGTCTCTGCAGTACCATTTTCTAATGATATGTGAGACTAAGCTATTAAGAGCAAGTGGCACGTCTTTGGTTTCCCAACCCAATTTGGCACTCATATCAACAAAA